AGTGTCTGAATTCAACCAGAGCGTGAAGTGCAAACGTTTTTTTTAAAAAAAGAGAGAGACAAGCACACAACACAGATTTCCAAAAATGACATGAACCACAGTCTGTGACTTCTACAACATCCAGCCTCCTAACACGAGCTCTGTAGGCCCGTAAACCACGACCGTAATCTCTCCATGGCCAATAATACTGCTAATGGTCCGTCAAGGCGCCTATGCCAAAGGACACTTCATGTGTAATGGTGAGACGCAGGTGGCTTGTAACAAAATAGCTTTATTTGATGGCACGGGATTAGAATGCACTGATCCTTAAGATATAGTCTCATCATATATTTCATTGGCATTAAAAAATATTGCATGTCTCTTCATATTTATGTCTTAAAACACCATCGCGTCATGTGATTTCTTTCACTTCCCTACATCTTAAAATCAGAAGGTTAGTATATTCTTTCTTTTATTACCTTTGACTGTGAAAGAAATTTATTTACAATACTGCTTAGCTTTAAACATGATTTTTTTCTGTCTTCAGAATATCTCCGCGACTAGACATCTGTATAACTACAACCCAGATCTGTATTTGCAGAAATCTAGAGCCTGGTGCCATTGAGGAGGATTAGCAGGATTGGAAGCTGCTAGGAGAGCATTAGCAGCAGCAGCAGCAACAGCAGACTTCATGAGACCATGTTTGGCAAAAGTAAATAAACAGCATGGGAAGAAGGCTTCTGCAGCCCCTCAGGGTCCTTCCAGTACAGTAACGCACAGCTGAGCGCTCCAGAGAAAGCTGCCTGTCTGCCAGTTTCCCTGCATGTGTCACAATACAGGCACTGTTGGGGGATGGAGAAGGCTCACATGTGGATGGTGTTACAGGCTTTGAGTTGTCTGAACACTTTTCTTTTAAACTGTTTATTCAGTATTGGTGTAGAATATTTCTGTTTCCAAGAGGCTCCAGATTCAACACAGAGCAATGCAAATTGTGAACCTATATGAGGCTTTTCACATGACAGCAGTGCTCCCCATTTACCACAGAGGCCTCTTTGCAGAAAAAGCATGTCACGCAGCACTGAGTGCATGACAAACAAATAATGGTTGTCTCTGTTATTTCACTGTGATACAACAAAATAGGCTGATGAAATCTAGAATGGACAGACAAGGGACAGTCGGCAGTAGGGGTGGGGAGGCATATCAGGGAAGGGCCAGGGGTACTGCCGAATTTTTATGCATGTAAGCGGGGATGTGTTGCTGGAAGCGTCAGGGACGGCAAATGTCACTCCGATGAGTCGAAAGTGTCGTGACGAGCAGCGGAGCCGTGACCTCGAATGGAGAGAGAGAGTTGAAAAACAGAGGAGAAGAGGGAGATGCAAGGCAAAGTGCAACACAACAATAAAAAAAAAGGCGGCCACAGCAGAAACAGAGAGAGAAGGAACAAAGAGAAAGAAGAACAAGAGGAAGCAAGTTTGTGGTGGGCCAACATCTAATCCTGCCAGCGCTCTGGGCTTCAGGAACAGAGGAGTGATATCAGTAAAGACACATTCACAGCCTGCCTATTGCTTAAATGAGGCCACTTTTGCCCCCCC